TAGCAATGTTGTTTGTCTTTTTAATATCGTCAAGGATTTGGGCGTATTATTCGATCTAAATCTTTCTTTTGATAACATTAATGCAATAATAGCAAAAGCTTTTAAAAAATCTTGGTTTTGTTATAAGAAACAGTAGACATTCCAATAATACTAATACATTAATTTTACTTTTTAATGCTTTTGTCAGATCTATACTAAGTGACATATAAATCCGAACACCCAGTTTAAATGGTTTTACTTTAATAAAAGTTGGTGAATGTATTTATCTTACTGTAAATAACAAGTGAAAAAATTTTCAGCCTTATCAGTTGGACATTCCGGTTTTTATACTGCTTTTTTTGATTCACTAACGCTCTAAAAATGAATATTTCAGCCGCAGTAAAGAATCAACGTTGGCGGATTTTGGTTCTTGACATCCTTTGCGATCGGTTACGATGCCTAGAGTACGGAGACCTGTACGATTTCGTCAACTTAGTGAGTTTGATAGGGGCCGTATAGTGGGACTTCGGGAAGCTGGACCTTCTTTTCGGGCAATTGCAGTTAGAGTGCAAAGAAGTGTAGACACTGTGGTTAGGTGTTCTCAGGCATGGCTTCGAGAAGGCCGTACATAAAGAGCAAGGGGCACTGGACGCCGCCGTAGAATAACAGACCGTGAAGATCGCCGCCTAAGATTATTGGCCTTAAGGGACCGTTTCTCCACTACCAGGTCCATTGCAAATGAATGGTTTGCAGAACACGGAAGACCTATTGGCATGCGAAGTGTTTACCGACGAATGAGAAGTTTTGGCTTGTTTTCATACCGGCCACACTGGGTCCTCCCTTTAACTCGAGAACACCGACCTAATCGCCTTGAGTGGTGCAGACAACGGTCACTCTGGGATCAGGAATGGAACAGTATTGTCTTTAGTGACAAGTCTCGATTTTGTTTAGACATGCACGATGGTCGTGCCAGGGTTAGAAGGCGACGTGGTGAAAGGAGGAATCCACAGTTTTTTGTTGAAAGACATGTTCATCACACTGTTGGAGTTATGGCTTGGGGTGATATAGCTTATGGTTCCAGGTCACCTGCAATCTTCATCAGAGGTAACATGAACGCGCAGTGCTATATCCACGAAGTTCTAGAATCCCATATTTTACCCTATCTTGACACCCTGGTAGATCCAACTTTCCAACAAGATAATGCCCGACCACATGTTGATAGAGTCACAATAGACTTCTTTCAAGATAATGATGTCACATTGTTACCATGGCCACCAAGATCTCCCGACTTATCCCCAATTGAGCACGTGTGGGATATGATGGGTAAGAGATTGCTCAATTTGCAACGTCCTCCTCAGACTCTAGAAGCACTTCGAGAGGAGTTGGTGGTTGCCTGGAATGAGATACCATAGGAGGACATTGACCACCTGATCAAAAGCATGCCTAGGCGCGTTGGAGAATGCGTAGCACATCAGGGTGCATCCACACATTATTAAAGGTCAAATGGCTTTAAAGCAGTGCAATCATTTTGAAATTTTTATCATTTACTTATTATGCTCCACTAAGTACTTATACAAAATTTTATTAAAATAAAACCATTTAAACTGGGTGTTCGGATTTATATGTCACTTAGTATATTTTAGAATACTGTTCGATTATCTGGTGCCCGGTCTATGATATACACTGTAAAAACATCGAGAGAATCTAACGTCGTTTTGTGAAATACTTATGGTTTAAAGATAATAGAGCGTACCCTGAAAGGGGTATATGCAATCACATTCTCTTAAGTAGATATAATTTACCTAATTTAGTCAAACATGTGAATCTGTTAGCTGCTAAATTTTTATGTAATTTGCTGAATGGAACAATTGATTGCTGTTTTCTTCTAGACAGGATCTCTCTATGCGTTCCCGATTTGCGTACTCGTCATGGTGGTAGCAATTCATTTTATTTACCTGTTCCGCGGACTAATTTATTCTTATTTTCGCCGTTTTATGTTATGTGTAATGTCTGTGACAGTATAAGTGAACTTGATATTTTTAGTCGCACCAGAATCGATATCAAGAGGTGTTTTTTAACAATTGGATAATAATATACATATATATTTATGTCTTTTTTATCATATACTGTGTAGAGTTCTGTTTTTGTATCATTTGTTGCTTTTTCCCTGCCTGTTGATTGCATCACTCTGTTCAGGCAGTGTATGGATTATTATAAATAAATAAATAAAATAAATAAAGACAAAAACATGTGAATGATTAGGATATACATATATGAAAACATTTATAAATCAAGATTATTACATCTTAGAGGGTAGAAAAGCATTTCTTGACTAGATTATTTTTCAAGTTTTTCATAAATATTAGCAATGAATCCGTGTGTTTCAGTGTACACCAGATGGTAATACGTTAGAATAGTGAATTTCTGCATACGAGAAATTCTCCTGGTATGATAGTCATGAATAATCACCATTCCCTTTGAGAGTAGCTAAATTCTGCTTAATGTATACAAAGAGTTTAGAAAGATATATTCCCATAACTGTTAACAAATAATACCCAATAAATGTATTGCGACATGACTCAATAGTCCCTAGGTCGAAAATTAAGCGCACAATTCTTATTTGAAGGATAAAAACTCGAGACCATTCAGAAGCTTGTCCCCATGAGACAATGTATGAAACATTAGAGTAAACATAGGAATAATAACACTGATCAACAGCCAAAAAATATCCTAAATAAAATCAACAAAATATTACTATTTTCAATGTGCTAAAACCGGAATGAAACTTATTTTTTCAATATTAGTTCAAGTTTTAGAGATACGTTTATACGATTATATGTGTTCCTGCTGTGATAGTGTTAATTTACTGTAATTCACAAGAATGCACGTGCAACATTTTTATATTCGACAAGGAAAGATGATGTAATCGGCATGATTGTGTTACGTTATACATACGTGTACATTATATTGTTTTATATTAGCCATTTTTTCCTCAGTTGGCTGACAGCGTTCATTCAAGATGTCTCGAATGTGTGTAAACAATCCAGATCAGTTTTGTTACGTGTGTGGTGATGTGACTTTTGCGTCTCAGAGACAGTCTATTACTCCACTAATAACAAAGGCATATCAGCTTTATTTCGGTTGTAAACTAGGTGATGAAGACAAACAGTGCTGTAATACATGTGCTTCAAGTCTGAGGAGCTGGTTAAATGGCAAAAAACGGTCTATGCGCTTTGCTGTCCCAATGGTTTGGAGAGAGCCTACAAATCATAGTAATGATTGTTACTTTTGCATGGTACCTTGTGTTGGACAAGCCACAGGTATGTCCAAGAAAAAAAAATCGGTCATTAACTACCCAAACATGCGATGAGACCTGTGCCTCACAGTGACGAAAATCCTATTCCAAAACCCCCAGAATCCTACACTTGCGAATCAGAAAACGAATCAGATCATGGCTATCGAGTGATTCGTCAGGAAGAAGATATGCCATCAACGTCAAGAGATCCTGATTTTATACCGAGCACGTCATGCCACCAACCGCACAAAATAGCACAGTCAGAATTAAATGATATTGTAAGAGATTTAGAACATCCAAAATTTAAGGCAGAGTTACTTGGATCAAGACTGCAGCAGTGGAACTTGTTAGAAGACGATGTTTTGGTATGTGTTTTTCTTAAACGCCACAAAGGCTTAGAACCATTTTTCAATATGGAGAATAACTTGGTTTTCTGCAGTACCATTAACGGCTTACTGGCGGCTTTAAATATAAACTATAACCCAGAAGAATGGAGATTGTTTATAGACAGTTCAACATTGAGTTTAAAGGCAGTGTTATTGCATATTGGAAATATTTTACCATCTCTTCCTGTATCATGCATCAGAATCATATGACAATATGAAGTACCTATTGACATGCATAAAATACGATGAGCACCAATGGCATATTTGTGGCGATTTGAAAGTTGTTGCACTTTTACTTGGGCTGCAGTTAGGCTACACAAAGTTTTGCTGTTTTTTGTGTGAATGGGACAGTCGGGCAAAGGCACTTCATTACACCAGACAAAACTGGCCTGTTAGTCAATTCCTAGAGCCAGGTCAAAAAAATGTCCAGCATATGCCATTAGTAGATTCGAAAAAAATTTTATTACCACCACTGCATATCAAGTTGGGCCTAATGAAAAACTTTGTCAAGGCATTAGATAGAAATGGGTCAGCTTTTCAATACCTGCGTCAGAAATTTCCAAGACTAAGTGAGGCAAAGGTTAAAGAAGGTATTTTTGTTGGGCCACAGATTCGAAATATTTTGAAAGATTGACAGTTTGAAAACACTTTAACAGGTATTGAAAAAACTGCTTGGAATGATTTCCGTCTGGTGGTCACTAATTTCTTGGGAAATAGAAAAGCTGACAACTATAAAACCATTGTCAAAAATATGCTGTCATCGTATCAAAAGATGGGCTGTAATATGTCTCTTAAGATACATTTCCTACACTCATACCTGGACTTTTTTCCTGACAATTGCGGAGCCGTAAGTGATGAGCACGGCGAACGCTTTCATCAAAATATTTCAACAATGGAAAAAGGTACCAGGGAAAGTGGAATCCTTCCATGCTTGCAGACTACTGTTGGACTCTTGGTAGAGATGCTCCAGAACCGATCCATAAAAGAACAGCAAAAAGACAGCGCATATAGTGATTCTTATAAGTATATGAATCTTGTTACTTTTTTTAATATACCCTTAAAAATAAAAAGTTTTTTTTCTAAACCGCAACTATTTTTTTTATTTCATTGTCATTTTTGGATTCAGCGCCCCAAAATTAACAAAGAAGTGCACTTTTGCCACAAGATACAATTAAAAAACTAAAATTTGTTGTCCAGTGATAATCGGTCATTAAAGCGTCCCGGCATAAATGTCGCTTCAACGTGACCAAGGCAAAGCATGCTTCATTTAATTTATTGCAAACTACTATCCATATTCCAATTAACACTTGTACCTTTACCTGTGAAACGATTCATATAGATCATACCAAACCTACCTTTAGTTCCTCGATCTCAGCCATGGTGAGCCTCGGCCCGCTCTGTTGGCCAGTAGCGGTATCGGTTGTTCCCCCCTCGCCGTCCGCCGCTACGTTGGGAGGCTGCTGTCCCCCCTGCGGCGACGTAGAGAAACACAGAGTACCGAAACACACGCGCATGCGCCGTCCGATACTCGCCAATGGCGTCACTTTCGCATCCAGCGCGACGGCAACGCGCGAACACGGAACGTACACGAACGGGACGATCGGACAGAACCTCGCCGCGAGCACTGCGAGGTGTAGACGGGGCTTAACGGCGCGACGCGACGGAGATGGCACCTGGAACAAGGAGAAATCCGTTAATACATGAAATTTGTAAGTGAGAAAAGCTTATACAAGGCTTGTCTTAATGGAAATAAGGGCTAACTTGTGCGAGTTGGCAAAGAAAGGCACAAAGGTTAATTTTGTTTGGTCGAAAGCGCACTCAGGAATAAGATAGGCGACAAAGCAGCCAGAGAAGATTGTTTTGTAGGAAATGCTGGTTGCAAAAAATACGGTTCAATTAATGATATCGATAATATTTTTGAAAATAAAAATCTAGCCCAATGTAATAATCAATTATTCTTTACCAGTCAGCTCACCACACATTTTCGATTATCATGTCGGAAGATTTTATTCGACCTTAATAACGAGATTGAGAGAAAACATGGTAGATTCGGAGGCCACCTTTTCAGAATGGGAATCCTTGATAATAATTGGTGCTACTGTGAAAACACTACAGCAGCATATTTAAACCATATTTTCTTTGAATGCACAAGAAATGAGCTCTATGTTTCTTGCTGCTAAGTTTGAACAGAAAGTTCATTCTGGATAAAATAGTTGAGTTGGCAAAATTAGCTAAGGTAGTGCTATAAAACGCCACAACACAAATTATAGAAATCTGCCGCAAATTGAATGTTGTCCAAAATCAACTCTCCCACCCCTCTACATACATAAAAAATGGTCCATTCACTTTCAAAGCGTATAGGCCAGGCAATACTAAGCATGTTTTTTAGAAACATATATATCAAATCTTTGAGGTAAGCGAGATATTGGGTTCCAAAAAGCAATAAATAAACTAGTATAACCCTACTACCCTTCCCTCCCACAATCCTTTCGTACGTCAAAAGGATGATGTACTGAGACTATGTGAATCAGTATCAGAACCAGACGTATCGTGGTGTCTACATGAACCTAGTTTATAAACAAATCACATTTGAAAAATCGAAATAGGCACATTCCTAGAACAATAACGTAGTTATCGATTTGATATGAGCATCTTCAAGGTCCTATTGACACTCCGCGTGAGTACTCAAAACGTCTCCGTCGTCTTCGATGTTTCTTTTCATCATATTTTTGTTCATGTCGTGAAAAGCCGTCTGGTTGAACACAGTTGAAGACCTGCAAAGCCCCCACAAATGTTGCAAATTTAGGAAGAGATAAACAAAACCGGGTTTTTGAATCCAACAGCGACAACTCCAAGAAGCGTTTATAAACAAAACATGTGATAGGGAAGCACCTTAAATCCCTTAACCAATGAATAGAGAGTACTTTTACTATATTTTTTTACGTTTTCGGTGTTTTGCCGCAAATTAGCTTTGATATTGCAAACGTATTTGACTATAAAAACGAAAGTCCCAACTTTCAGGACACCCTGTATAGCGAAATTGGGATAGGTATCTAATGAACGCCTTGGCATTCTTTGCTGACCACTTTTCAATTGCGATTTTCGAAATCAGTGTACCTGGCCACGATCGCTTGTATCAGCAGGAGATGAAAATGAGGATTTTGCATTTCGAGAAAAAATGATTTACAAAAATTCTCGCTTACCTACAATCTGGGTAAATCGAGTGAGTAGATCACAAATCTCAAAGATGGAAGGTTCCAAAAATTCCATTCTCCTACCCAATTAGGTCTTGAGATATTTTATCATTTTTCTGGGGACCATATTCAAAATCAAATCACTCTGATATTCGCCAGGAGCGAAGTGCATAGTGGAAAAACGGAATCGATCGCCGCGCATGAGTTGAACACAAAGGAAACATTATGACAGTGGAGTATATACGTAGGAAATTTGTTTTATGTGGGATCAACTGAGGCCTAGAAAATGTGCTAATATTTTACTGTCTTCATTTTTCACATCAAAAGCGAATTATTAATTCGAAATTTAAATTGTTTCAACCTAGAATCGACTAAATTTTAGTTTTATTTAGTAATATCGCTCTCATCCGTCCGACCATGAAAAGCGCACAGCGAAAACTGAGCAACTGTCCTTTATCCAGGATATGAGGTATATCGGAATAAGTCAGCACAGAGTACCATCTATTACCAGAATCTCTAGAAGTGGTTGATTCTCCTATTTCATTGACTTCATTTCATGACACTTAGGGCCGTATCATCAGTCGTTCCTACAATTGTAGGACGCCTTTATAGCCTCCTTGATTTTCATCTATTCTCGCGTGTCAGCGCTCTCTTTTGAGGTTATGTCACAAATATCTATTTGCATCAAATTATTCATGCTTCTCATTTATATCATCTGTTTTCTTAGCCTAAAATTTCCTGCAATTCAAAAAGAAAACATAACATCACAACAGGAAAGCGCCGACTCTGACTCGGAACTGTAGAAATACCCCCAGGCTTTCTGAAGGTGAAAAATACTATGGGAATCAAGAAGGCCAAAAAAGCGTCCGACAATCGTAGGAACGACTGACGAAACGGCCCTGAAGCTTTAATGGGGAATAGACTGTTCATCCTGTACCCGCTCCCCTTTCTACTATGCTTCTTAATAAAAGAAATCTTATGAGGGAGGCAAAAGTCAAAATCTTATTTATATATTATTTATTCGAGGGAATGCTATACCGGGTGACCCTAATATTAAAGGCACTAGTTAATTTCCGAATCCTCCGATTGTAATAGATATTACTATAAAAAATTTATGACAAATGCATGGGCAGTAAAAATAACATAAATTTGGTCATTTCCAATAAGTGAGCCCGGGCTTCCTAATTCAGCTCGGATTAATATTCTAAGAGAAGTCCCAGCTATTCCAGCTCAAGCTCCAAATAGGAAGTATAAGGTGCTGATATCCTTATGATTCGTAGAAAACAATCATTTGTTGAGATGGCTGAGTATAGGCAATAAATTGTAAATTTATGAACGGAATAAACATTTCTCTCACTAAGCTTTGTATTCAAAAATGATATTAAATTGCAAATTTAATGGTAAAGTTAAACGTTTAAAGCTTTAACTACTAAGCCGTTTAAGGCTTAGAATAAACCATTTTATATTCAACTTTGAAGGTTAAGAGTTTAACTTTAACTTAAATCCTTTTTAGTGAAGTTTAACTTTTTTGTGCTGTCCTTATTTTTAATTAACCTTATATTAAGAGAGAAATTCCAAAACATTTATTTAATATTTAAATTTAATTTAAATTTTAAGATCAGGTAAATTTAATAAAATTATTTGAAGTAGACTTACTTTAATTAAATTCAATAAAAAAATTATAAGATGCAAACAATAAATTTTATAGAATTTATTGATCAAATAAATACTTAAATAATACAATTTTATAGAAAAATTCAAATTTAAGCTTTTTTGAAATTTGAATTTTAGAGCCAGCAAATTGATTTTTTAAAAATCGGGTCAATTCAGAATTTTTTAAATTCAATTTTAACATTGAATTGAATTTTATGGATCTAATAAAATGACAGAAGATTTATTTGTTAGTTTTGTTTACTGTAAATTCTACTAAATTATTTTTTTTCTAAAATTAAAAACGATTTTTTACTAAAAATAAAATTGAATGTTTAAGTTTGTTCCAGAAAATTTAAATTTAGATCAAAGATTACTAAAAAAAATTAAAAAAATATTGATCATTATAGTGCAATAAATTAATCTGGCTAAAGCTAAAACATTGATGAAAATTATTCAAAATTTTATAGAAAAGTTAAGATTTAAAAGTGCTTCTGCTTTAATTAAAAGAAAGGCTGAACATGTCAATCGTTTGTAAAAAAAACAATGTAATTAATGTAAATACAGTTAAGATAATTCTTAAGGTAAAAATATGTCTATTAATTAAACCATTTTGGCAAAAATCCTAAGAAAGGTGGTATACCTCCTAAAGATAAAAAATTCATAAAGAAAAAAAATCTGAATATTTTGTTGGAACTAAAGATTAGGAATAGTTGAGTGGTAAAAAAATGTCAAAATACCAAAAAATTGCTACTAAATTCTAATTAATAATGGAATAGATAATAAAGTAAAAAATCCAAATTATTTCAAAATTTATTATACTAGCAAGTATTCAGGCGATGTGGTTAATAGAAGAATACACTAGAATTTTTCGTAAGCTGAGTTGATTAAGTCCTATAATACCACTAATAATAGAGGAAAATACAATAACTCATGACAAGAAAAAAGTCATATTTAAGTTACATATAAAACTATAGGGGCAATTTTTTGCCAAGTAAGTACAATAAATCTATTGCCTCTATTTAGCCCTTATATTACTTCAGCGAATCAGGCTTGGAAGGGAACAGCTCCTATTTTTAAAAATAGTGAAGAATTTAAAATTATTATTAATAAGTTTGAAGAATTTTGGGGAGGAAATTCTTGAAAATTTATTGATACAATAATAGTAAATAGAAACATTAAAGAAGCTAAAACTTGAGTAATAAAATATTTTATGGCCGCCTCAGAGGGGTATAAATTATTTTTTTTTATATTAAAGGAATAACAGATAAAAATTTAATTTCTAATCCCAAAAAAAATCTGAATCAGGAATAAGAAGAAATTTTAATTGAAGTTCCAATTAAAGTATTTATTAACAATATTTTGTATAATTTTATAATTAATAAGAGAAGGAGTGGAACCTTCATAAGTGGGGTATGAACCCAATAGCTTTATTGGGATTTGATGGTCATATTCGAAATTAATCCCTAGTATATCGTTTTTTGTTGAGAAACGAAAACTTTGAAATTTTCGTTTCCTGGGGAAACTGCAACCAATACTCAATGGCTAATTATTATTGTAATCAATGCCTTATCAAAATCAAAGATCTGATTTAGAATGAAATCCATACGTATACGTTTCAAGTACCATGACGTATAATGTTGATTAAAGTTTATTTATAGATAAAGATATCGCATTACTCGTTATGACATCTACAAACAAAAGATTTTTCTATTATTATATAGAAATCTACAGCCGGAGTCTTGCGGGCCGAATTGCTTGGTCAATGAATCCGGAATTTATTCAACATCAGCAGGAACGATTTTTCAAAGAACCACTCAATTTCAGAAATTTTGCAAATACATAATAATGGAAAAACGTATCTCAGTTACTAAGAATTTTTCAGTGACATTTTCAAGAATATGAGACGACAACTACGACCTTAAGCTTGTTCTTGCTTCAAACTGTAATATTGCCAACTTTTGAATAACCAATTAGTTCAATAAATAATCCGATTTTTGGGTAAATGACGAGGCCAAGCATATAAAACATCCATGATTGACCTTCACATTTAGTTGCTAACTAATTATAATCACATAATGGTTTAGTAAACGCATGTAATCGGCGAGTTTTTGTCTAGGTTCATGCTACTGGTGTGTGTGCGCATTTATTTATAGAATGACCTTTCTCTTTTTTTAGAAGAAGTTCAAGGCGATGTGGTGAATAGCCAGCGGAAATTCAGAACATTGGTTGGTAAAAAATAATCATAGTGTTACAGACCGAAAAATACGCGGGCAATTCAAGTTAGTGGAAATCCCAACAATAAATAGACGCGAACGTGATAAACCACGTATTCAGCGTAGGTGCGTGGTACTTGATGGCTCCCACACTTCTCTCAGCGCTTATACCTCTCACCTTTCCGTCCCTCCAGCCCCTTGACAAAATATAACGCAGATGCACTTTTTGCAGTCATATAAATAGATTATAGTTAATATTCATTATATTTATTATCTTTGCTCCCAACTCCAACCATGGACGTGCCCCCAACGACTGAGTGCCGCCAATGCACAGGGTTTCCTACACTATGATGAAAGTAACTTTCAAGCATAAGACCTTTTCGCTCGAAATCAACAAAGCTTCTAGTGCGGACTTAATTCCTGCCGCTGTACTGAAGAGATGTGCAGCGGAGCTCGCTCCAGTTCTTTCGCGTCTATCCGAGATATTCAATTCAATTCAATTCAATGGACTTTATTGTAACACATACATAATTATGTATCCTTACAAATGGCGAAGTCTGGCCAATGGCCATTTATACTTAACCATAAATGTCATGTCAAAAACTGAAAAAGAAAAGGAAAAAGAAGAATAATAGAAAAAGAAGAATTAATAAATATGACATAATACGTACGATTAGAACAAAAAACATAATACGTACGATTCAAAGAGAGGACAATAACCTAAGAGCTCAATAAGTAGTTCTTATATTTTTTTTAGAAAAGTTGCTGATGAAACATTGTTCGAAAGAGTTGATCAATTTCACCGCATTATACGTGAAAGACCGTTGAAAAATGGCTGTCCTATGTTGTGGCATTGTCAGGAAATTAATGTTGCGCGTATTCAAATTGTGAATTAAATTCCTACGAACAAGCTTTTGCATAAGATAAACCGGAACAGAAGTTTTTAATATTTTTACGACAAATGTAACAAAGTTGTATTTGAAAAGATCAGAAATTTTCAAGTAATTCATTGAAGATATTGAGTGAGAAACATGATCGCACCTTCTTAAATTGTTTATGTAACGACTACATGAGTTTTGAATTTTTTGCAGTCTGTATTTTGTGATTTCATCCAGACAGGGATAATAAACTATGTTGCAGTAAGCGATTTTACTGAGTATGAGTGACTCGCATAGCATTTTCTTAATTTTTCTATTTAAACAGTTTTACTTACATATAGAAGCCTGAGTCTAAAAACTAGACTTACACACATAGCCAACATGCTCCTGAAATCTGAAATCTTCATCCAAGTACAAACCTAAATTTTTTGCAGAATGGGAAAATATTAGGATACTATTATTTAATGATAAATTTAACTTTGATTTGAGGAAAGTACGTTTTTTCTTGGAGCAAAAAAGTATAGCTGTCGATTTCGATGCGTTTAGACGCAGCATATGTGCATAAGTATTGCAGATCTTGATTGATAAGGTTGTTAGCTAAATGGTAGTTGTTCGGACAGAAATTATGAAAAACCTGCATATCATCAGCATATGATTGACTAGAACAATGTTGAAGGGTGTTAGAAATGTCAAAGGTGTATATAAGGAATAAAAGTGGACCTAATATGGATCCCTGAGGCACGCCGGAACATATCGGCCTTTTGTCTGAAAGTTTATTTTGTATGACGACATATTGATGTCGTTCATTTAAATAGCAATCTATCCATTCCAGAACCAAGTCGTCACACCCAATGTATTTACATTTAGAAACTAACAGCTTATGATTCAGGGTGTCGAAAGCCTTGCTGAAATCCAATAAGACTAATGCAGTTGCTTCTTGCCTATCCGCCGCTGTTAGTACATCGTCACAAACCCGTGCCAAAGCGGTAGTGGTACTATTACATATTCCTCTCTGATAAGAGACTTTGAGGCTATCACTGCTTCTGGATGCAACAGTAATGTACGAGGGATGTCTTTTAAGTTTTGCATATAGTAGTAGGCCGCGCGGATCGAACCTCAGTACTGAATCTTAACCTCACTCTTTAGTAAACTTAAATTCAAAGTTTCACAACAATACGTGCAGTGTTCTCACTACAGTGAATTTTTAAGTGTCACCAAGTCATTAGAAAAATGGAACTCAAGCGGGAACATTTTCGCGCCATAATTTATTACTTTCAGAGACAATTATCGCAACAAGAATGCCTTGCTGAGTTAATGTTCGTTTTCGGCAACGAAGCGCCACATCAGTCGACAATTTCCCATTGGTATGGAGAATTCAAACGTGGACGGGTGAGTCTTAGCGACGATCCCAGGGTCTGTGCACCAAAAACGGCAGTCACCCAGGAAGACGTCGATCCTGTGAGCAAACTCATCATTGAAGATAGACATGTGACATATCGCGAGATTAAGGCATCCTTGAAGATCTCAAAGAACTCAATTCAAAAAATTTTACATGAAGAATTACGAGTAAGAAAATTAGTTTCTCGTTGGATACCCCTCCTGTTGACTGAAGAGCAGAAAGCAGCCAGGGTTAACTGGTGTCAAAAAACGCTTGACCGTTTCAACTCCGGAAACTCAAAAAATGTGTACAGCATTGTTAGTGGTGATGAATCGTGGATTTACTGTTATGAACTAGAAAATAAACGACAGTCGGCTTTTTGGGTCTTCCAACGAGATGGAAAGAAGGTGAAATATTGCCTATTCATAAAGGAGGCGATAGACATCTTGTGGAAAATTATCGACCTATCACTAAACTTTGTATTTACTCAAAAATTTTTGAAAAGCTGATTTATGATGCTATCTTAAACATTACAAAAAATATCATTACGGAACACCAGCATGGATTTTTCCCTAAAAGATCTGTAGAGACGAATTTAATAAGTTTTATAGAATATTGCTCTCACGCAATAGATGAGAAACTGCAGGTGGATGTTATTTATACCGACTTCAGTAGGGCTTTCGACAAGATTGATCATTCTATCTTGATGGAGAGACTAGCTGAGGTGGGTGTAGATGGTCCATTATGGCAGTGGCTAGCATCGTATAACAAGTGGTGACTATCAATGGGTATCGTTCGGAGACATTCTTAGTAACTTCAGGCGTACCACAAGGTAGTCACTTAGGACCATTGTTATTTAACATATACGTTACATGAACAACCTTACTTCTGTTTTTCATTTCAGTAAATATTTGTTATATGCTGATGATCTAAAGATATTTACTATTGTTAGAAATGTAAATGACGGTGTAAAACTTCAAAGCGATTTGGAATCTCTGCAAAAGTATTGCACTGAAAACAGTATATTCCTGAATTTAACAAAATGTCATTACATGAGGCTTACTAGAAACATAGCGAACACTATAGATTTCAGATATAAGATAGGGACGGCAGAACTGGAAAAGCTTCATGTAGTAAAAGACCTAGGGGTATACATTGATGAGAAACTCTCATTCATCACTCACGTAGAGCACATCGTAAATGATGCAAATAGAACACTAGGGTTCATAAACAGGACATGCAGAGAATTTACGAACCCAAAAACGCTTCTTTCATTGTACTACGCTTATACAGGGTTATCCAAATTAAGTGTCCACCATTAGTAACTTTGTTATTAGTGAAAATACAAAGTTGTTTGAATTAGCAAACTAGTAGCATTTTTAACGCTGGTAAAAATGAGAAATAAAAAAAAAACAATTGAGAGTCGTTATTTTGATTTTTTTCAGTAAAATAACATTTTTTTAAATGGAAACCCCTGTATATTATATTTTTTTCTGTTAAAGCATCAAATTTTGAACAAAAAAGCTTACAATAACTTTTCTCCTAGGTTACAAATTGTTGAAGTTATGGCCTCCAATCTGAAACAATTAAATTGTATCGACAAACTTTATTTTCAACATCAACTTATAATCTTACAAAATACAATAACAATTTTTTTTAAAGAAGATGCTCGAAAACACCACCTTGTTCTTCAATACATTTTTGGGCACGTTTTTCAACTGCTCGAACTGTCTTAGGTATGGTCCTACCATCTATCTGGGTTATCTTTTCCCTAACTGCAGTCTTTAACGCGTCAAGGTTATCGTACCTTCGCTTGTAAATTTAGTTCTTTAAGTAACCCCACAAGAAGTAATCAAGTGGGTTTAGATCTGGTGATCTGGGAGGCCACTGTATTGGGCCATTTGTTCCTATACACTGATCATTAAAAGTAGTACTTAGAAAATGATAAGTACCTCTGGAGTTGTGGGCAGGTGCGCCATCTTGCTGAAACTGCCGATGATGTCTACTTATAAGATCCAATTCGTCTAAGAAATTAGTCAGAATTTCTGACATAAATTCCACATATCTTTCACCAGTTAGGGTTCCCTCATAAAAGAACGGGCCAACAATTTTTGAACCAATTATACCGCACCAAACGTTGAAACTGAAACGGACTTGTGGGCCTCTTGGATGTACTAACAAAAGATTTTCTCTTGACCAATAATGGTGGTTTTTTCTATTAAACATTCCAGAATTTGAAAAATTTGATTCATCTGTCCATAAAAGGTAACGAAAGTTATTTACATTTTGGCGACAGAAGCTAAGATACCAATGGCAAAAAACAAGTCTTCTCTCTGGATCCCCTGCCAAAAGCGTTTGAACTGGTCGGTACTTATACGGAATAAATTTGTATTTTTTTAAAATCCTTTGAACAGTACCATAACTGAAATTAGAGTCCTTGAGAATATCTGCTATTGAATTCTCACGATAAGCTTCAAAATATCCAATAACTGCAATTTCCGTGGCCTCGCTTATTATGAATTCTTTTTTTGCCCTTGTTTTAGCAAAAACATTTTCGTTGCCCCTAAATTTTCGATAAAGTCTCAGAAAATATCGTTCATACGGTTGAATGCGAGCGGGATATAATTCACTGTAGTATTCTCTTGCTCTCAAGGAGGATTTTCTGCACACTAAATAGCATTCTAACATATCACACTTTTCTTCATGGGAGAACATTTTTCTTTAAATTAATGACACAATAAAGCTTATAAACAAGTATTTACACTAATGTTTGACATTATTTGATTTTATCATTGTTTTCCAAAGCCTTCTAGTTGCGAGTATGTCCAGTTTAACAATTTGTCGCTTATCTTAATGCTGTCAAATCGCGAACGCCATGTTGTTTTCATAGCCGTCTTAATATTATAATACTGCAAATAATTAAAAATATTTATCGTTATTTTGACTTTATTTTTGACTTTAGCGGAAAAGTCATTATGAACTTTTTTGTTTAAAATTTGATGCTTTAACAGAAAAAAATATAATATACAGGGGTTTCCATTTAAAAAAATGTTATTTTACTGAAAAAAATCAAAATAACGAGTCTCAATTGTTTTTTTTTATTTCTCATTTTTACCAGCGTTAAAAATGCTACTAGTTTGCTAATTCAAACAACTTTGTATTTTCACTAATAACAAAGTTACTAATGGTGGACACTTAATTTGGATAACCCTGTATACACAACAAATTGATGTTTGCATCAGTAATATGGAATCCGTCTTACAATGTACATATAGCCAGGATAGAAAGAATTCAACACAAATTTTTGAAGATGTTAGCACATAAAACTCACCAACCTGTTACAGATCGTCATTATACGCAAATTATGAAACAGTTCAATATGATTTCCTTAAAAGATAGAAGAACTATTTCTGACATTTGCTGTGTTCATAAATTGTTCAATGGCCTCACTGACTGTCCGGATCTTCTGGCAAACTTGAACTTTAACACTCCTGATAGAACGTTTAGAACCTATCATCTGTTTAGAATACCGTTCCGTAGAACTAATCTTGGTCTTAATTCCCCTTTGGTCAGGGCTCAAAAAAATTATAATAATTTCTGTAATATAGATTTATTTAACGTTAGCTTGACCTTCCTGAAAAAGGCTTTAAAGTATGAGTATTGCAGCTCTATGGCAGACTAAAATAGAAATGTTTTATTTTTTTAGATAACTCAAGTTATTACCTCCAATATCATTTCTGGTATAATTTCAATTTAATTTTGATTTCAGTTTTAATTAAACGTAAGTAAATGTTAAATTATGTATACTCCTTTTATTAAAAAAGTTAAATTAATAGTTTATTGCTTATAATTAGAACTACTCACTCAGTTGTTACAACAATATCGGAAGATAAAAAAAATATTAATATTGAAGTATTCAATAATGTAATATATGTATATGTATACGATATTTTATGTAAGTTTAGTTTTAGTTCACTGAGGGTGTGTGTTGGGTTTACCTGTTAACACCCCAAACTGTATATAAATAAAATAAAATGTTTCGGGTGCTGCCGCCCCGACTACATTATCCATGCTCGGTGCCTTAACATTGCAGGTCGTCAAAATTCTCGTGTTCATTGTTGACGCGGTTGCTCCACTTTTATATAAAACAAACAGCGCTTTGTTGCTCTGTCGTACTATATATTTATCTGTGATTCCAGAATATTTTCAATAACATTCTGTATAATATTGCTGCACTCACCCCAATAAGTGATATCCTTTGAGCACACGCACTGCGACAAATAGCAAGCTTAATGAATAACTGATCGTTACTCAATCAGAGTTGTTTCACTATCACAATAATATTATGAGTGGTATACCACTCAAGATCTTATCTGATCAATGTGGCACTGGCAACAACGCGTTATAAGGAACATTCAGACTTGTCATGACGGGCGACAGCTTTACGTAAACCTGGAAAGAAAAAACCAGGTTGAAATATGCGCTCTTGGTGATAACATTCATACAGATATCCAATTCCAGTCTGTTTATTTATAAATGTTCCATAAACTCCATGCACACTGGGAGAGATATCAATACATTTTTCCTGATAAGGTCATTCATTTGGTTTATGCTGAGCGTTACTTATCATTTTCACGCAATAGTGGGGAAAAATCTCAGTTGTTTGCAATGCATTTAAATGAAAATCAAATAATATTGTTATAATTTTTCACCGAATGAAGGTCTCCAAAAATATGCTAACGCTATTGGACAGGGTAGCGCTAGTCCATCCCTGCTGAACTAAAACGTTCCTTGAAGAATAAAAGTCATTTGTGTAATGATTTCTCATAAACGAACAGTAACGCTTTCTTGAGAAACGTTCAAAGGAAAATTTAATATTGCATTCCACTGTTGTCACATCGACATCATTGTTGTCAGAAGCTTTTTCCTCTACCATACCTTTCAGGCGCGTCCCTTCGAATTGACAAAGTTAGAGCGTAAGCATCCTGCCGTATACAAAGAGATGCCGCACTTGCAGTGGCGTGCAGTGTGTTTCGCTGTTCTCTTCCTTTTCGGTACCCGAATATAGTCGCCTTGATTTAACAATTTTGACTGTTTCTTTTTCTGCTAAATGTTAGCAAAACAGTAAGAAAAAGTATTTGCTTTCTCGATATAAGGTTTGTTTGTACAGCGGTCGGTGACTGTCACTGGGATCCGGTTGTGTGAATTCCATTCCTTCTATACAGGGTGTCCGCAAAGTTGGGGTTTTCCTTTTCAGAAACAACTACCCTTGAAATAACAAAGGTAATGTGTAGTGAAACGAGGGCGACCAAGTAAAAAAAAATAAAGGAAAAAGTACTCACTCTCCAGTTGACGAGAAGGGCTAAGTACGTCTCTGCCCGAAATCATACCGCTCCAACAGAAAATGAAATCAGCTGAAGCGCTACCGAGCAGACGCAGAAACCACATTGATTGTCTTACACTTAATAGCACATCTTCTAACAAGGAAGGCAAAATGTTGCGTAATTGCGTGCGGATTTTCTACTGACCAAACATGAGTGTTGCGAAAGTTATTCACCCCATTACGCGTCAACGTAGATTCGTCTGTCACCAAAATGCACTTCAAAAAGTCCGGATTATTGTCATGTTGATGCAACAACCACTCACAAAACCGCACTCTTGCTGGAAAATCGTCAGGCTTGTACACGTTGGACGTGAAACGGATAGCCCCTCTTCACGCAGCGTTTGCCACACTTTAGTTTTTGATACTTGCACTTCTCTAGCCACATCTCTAGAGATTCTCGTCTACGCGATTACCTCTACATGCGTAACCGTAACCATCGGTTGAAGGTTGCATACTGACCTGACACACTGACCCCGACCCAGTTCTGTCGTCGGGTTGAGCTAGTGTCCTAGTACCAGTCGCGGCTACAGGACGCTATTCAGATATTTTTGATGTTGCAGAGCCCTTTATCTCGGTTCCCTTAAGACATTGGTGTATATGGTAGTAAGAAAAATTGTTTATGTTTTCAAGATCTACACGTCGTGTAAAGGAAAACCCCAACTTTGCGGACACCCTGTATACGGCACGGGTATTACGTAACTTGAAAAGTGACATTTTGTAGTTTTTTTTGTGACATAACGTAGATTTGTCTACAAGATGTTAACTTAGCACCAGCTGTTGTACACGAATCGCCATCATAGTGGGCAAACGTGGAAAGAACAATTTGCACACTAAAAACTACCTAGTCTCCAAGATATTTTGTCGAATTTTTTTATTACGTTTTTCAGGTTTCTAACACAATATCCCTGCGGTGGCAGAACGGATGGAATTTGTGTGATGAATCCTCCCTTGGAAAGTATTCAAGATACTGTTATTATTTGTTTTAAGTCCAAGAAGAGATCAGTCCACAAAACCGCATTCAATTCTAACTGAAACTAACATAGTCTCAAGAGACTCAGAGCGGTAACCAAGCTGTGTCAAAGCTTCTCCTTAATAAATTCACAGACTGACAGAATAGTCAACCTACTTGACGGCGTCGAATCGATCTATTATAAAGAACATTGGATACAATTTGTAAAATCACATCGTATCGAGATCCTCGCTTTCTCGGTAGTTAGTAGTCGTTTTGCCTTTACATGTAGATCATTAAAGATGAAGCTCTGAATATCTTCTTCTATTTTCAGATTTGGAAGAAACTGTGTCACGAAACGCCAAGTTAATAATGTGGAAAGTAAGAAAAGAAACAGATGCATTAGACAATCCAAAACACGTGATATCTAATGTAGACAATACAGGTTATAGAGCCGATGCGGGAGAAGAAAAGTTTCGTTGCGCAGTCCAGTTTGAAGAAACCTCAATATTCTGAAGTGGGTCGGGATGTGTCAAGCTTTCTGCGAACAATATGCAGGAGGCAGTAATCACCTCCTGGCGGGTAAAAATAGTATTGAAGAGAGTTAAAGAATAGGTGGAAACGGTTGAATGACGCACACAGAGGCAAGGAAAGTTATAGATTAGACCTTCGCCATTGGACATTGGGCTTAAAGTTAGTTATACACAATTTCCAATAGAACACCGAATAAGTGTCAAGAATCTCTAATCGATATAGCACTTGCAGATGGATGGTATAGATCAGTTAACATCTCAACACCCACTCGGTCCTGTTTCATGCTACAATCGCCGTAACCTTCCATCGGCAAAATGTACCTACAGCCCACAATCACTGCAGTTAGTAGATCGTTCTTCGTTTGAATTCTTTAAAAACGAAAAGTAATTCCGAATCTTAATAGCAGCATGTCTTTAAAACAATTCGTTAATCCCATCTCTCCCATCTGTAACTTCGGCGCCGTTTTTATAGAGCGCGCATCTCTTCTCAGCCAGAAAATCGGCGGGATACCAGCCAGCACCAGTATCCGTACTCACCACTTAATCGAGTTCGTCAGCTCTGCTAGAATCCTGTGCCTCTGACTAGTGAGACCTTCGTCAGATGGCAGTAGCCGTATCAGATTCTTGTCAAGCCACATATCCAGATACTTATTGCCATTTTGGCTTCAAATCTGGGCCCAGGACGCGGTTTATGATGCCCCTAACTTAGTGGACGAACTTTGTGCTTTGAGCCATACTGATCCTAGATCCGCCGTTGAAAGGAGTCGGCACTGAGGCTGGAATCAAATCCATGGAACAATGTGGCTCAGCTCTGTTTTCAAAACCCATATGTTTGACCTGCCCTCTTCATAACCGACACTGGCCAAGTTCTCACTCACCAACCTACGTGACATTAGCTGGCCTATGTCAACCATTCCTGAATGCAATTCTTCTTCTGCTGCTTACATCGACTTGCTACGCAACTCTAGCATATCTCAACCTGTTGATCGTCCAACGAGATTCAGGGAAGGACAGACGCCTAGGGCTCTGGATTTGATATTCGTTAACGACGCCGACTTTGTTTCTAATTTAGATTATTTGCCACCTTTTGGCAAGTCTGACCACTGTTCACTTTTATCTTCGCTCCAGTTCAATATAAATAGTCGTTCTACAACCGATAAGTTTAAAACCATCAAAATTGTAAACCACGATGCTCTTAACCAAGCCCTGTCTGAAGTCAACTGGCCTGCTTTGCTTAACAACCGTAGCACCCAAGATATATGGGACACTTTCGCTCAACGAGTCCTAAGCGAAACGGCTGACAATACTGTTGAAAAGAAGGTATACTGTGACCCCTCAAAGCCCTGGATCAACTCTAACATATCGAGGATGCTTCGTCACAAGAGATCTTTGTGGCAACGGTTTAGGAGGAGTGGCCATTCACAAGATTACGTGTCTCATCGATCCTTTTCTAACCTCCTATCTAGAACGTTACATAATGCCAAACATGCTTATGAACGAAAACTTGTTACCTCCAAAAATAAGAAGAAGCTGTTTCGGTATCTAAGAACAGACCTGAATTCCAAAGTTTCATCACCTCAGATCCGCGACGCTGACGGTCATCTCCACATGGATGCCACCGAATCTGCCAACTTACTGGCAGAGTCCTTTAGTGATGACTTCGTCGATGAGCCTAATGGAGACCTTCTACCGACCACTATCTGCCATAGGTGTCCCAACAGCCTTTGCGAAGTTGAGTTCCTGCCTGAAGATGTATTAATGCAGCTGCGAAATCTGAAGACCTCTTCCTCCCCTGGTAAAGATGGGATGACGGCTGCTGTACTTAAAAACTGCGCTTCAGCACTGGCCCTACCATTAAGCTTGATATTCACATCGTCTTTTAGATCTCATACCCTACCCTCATGCTGGCTTAGTGCTTCTGTTACCCCTGTATTCAAAAAGGGCGACAAATCCTCCGCTAAAAATTATCGACCAATAAGTCTCGTTCCTATCGCCGCCAAAATAGCTGAAAGAATCATATTAGATAAGCTCCTGTCATTTGCTTTCGAAAATGACCTTATCCCTAAGAATCAGCATGGATTTCTCCCTGGTCGATCAATAATGACCAACCATCTCCACTCTCTTAACGATTGGACTCAGTATCTGGACACAAAGACTCCTGTTGATATAATCTACTTAGATTTTTCTAGGGCTTTCGATCGCGTACCACATAGAAGGCTTCTGTTTAAGTTGGAATCTATGGGAATAAGAGGCGAGTTGTTACTGTGGATTAAGGCTTTTCTCATCGGGAGGACTTTCTCTGTGCGCGTCAGTGATAGCCAGTCTCACCTTCATCATGTAGCAAGTGGAGTTCCTCAAGGCTCTGTCTAGGGGCCAGTGATGTTCCTTCTGTATACAAGTGATCTGCCCGCATTGATTTCCTCCACATGTTCAGCTTATGCCGACGACACCAAGATTTACAATACTGTCGTGAATTCTGCTATGCTTCAACGACATCTTGATATTGTTTGTCAATGGTCAGTCAGATGGCTTTTACCCTTAAATCTAACTAAGTGTTGTGTCCTTCACCTCGGGAAGACAAATCCGC